ATTATTTTTATATACATGATAGAGATAGATGAGAGATAGATAGATAGATAGATAGATAGATAGATAGATAGATAATTGTAGATAAATAATAGAGTAGAGGCCTGGTGCATGAAATTCATGCATGGGGGGTGTCCCTCAGCCCAGCCTGCACCCTCTCCAATCTGGGGCCCCTCGGGGGATATCCGACTGCCGGTTTAGGCCCAATCTCACACACGGATTGGGCCTAAACTGGCAGTCGGACATCCCTATCACAATCTGGGACTACTGGTTCCTAAGCGCTCGCCTGCCTGCCGGCCTGATCGCCCCTAACTGCCTCTGCCTCAGTGGCTTTGTCCGTAAGGAAGTCAGACATCCAGAAGATGCCCGGTCCACCCAGTCTAATTAACATATTACCTTTTTATTAGTATAGATAGGTTGATAGATAATCATACTTTAGAAAAATGATAGATAGATTGATTGGTAATCATACATGAGATAAATGACGATAGATAGATGATAGATAGATAGATAGATAGATAGATAGATAGATAGATAGATAGCTGTAGATCATTTATATCTGGAATAGCCAATGAAGAAATGGTGCCAAAGAATGCAGGCCGAAAGCCAGGATCAATGTGGCCGCTTTCCTTTGGCTCAGGAAGCACTGAGCCCAGCATATATTTAAGCCTCTGTTCCCATTTGCATTTGCTTCTCATTACATCCTTTTCCAGGCCTGTGAAAAAAATGGCCTCCTTAGCATTTTTAGTAACTGGGAGAGGAAGGGGGGCAATTCTGACCCCAAACTGAGGGAATTCTTCAAATCCTGGTTCTGCTGCTGGTTAACTTTGGCCAAAAATGGGGTCATGATACAGCTACATGATGGAGTTTTGGGGGGAGTCAATGAGTTCGTGTAAATGAAAGGGCCTAGCACCCAGTTCTGGACAACCGGGTGATGGCAGGCTATGGAAGGGTTTCCTGGTTAGAAGGGTGTCTCTTACCCTCATGAAGGGTGGTGTGTCAAGTGCTGGAATATGTGGGAGGGTGAGGAGGAATGAGACAGTGAGTGAGTGAGATGAATTAGTGGCAGGGACCACCCTGAAGTGACCGCCGAGGACCCAAGAGCGGCACTCATCTTCGCGTGGAGCCGGGATTCGCTGGAGCTAGCAGAATCACACTGTTGGCTGGAGCTTATTTAATTTTATAGAAAGCTCCGGGCTCAGAGCCCAGTTGTATATAGTATGCGTTATTCAGACAGACTTGAGCTAAGCTATCAAAGCTCTGGGGTGTGTAGACTGGTGGTGGGAGGAGTAGAGGAGCTGGGGTGCAGGGTAATCTTGACAGAGCACAGTGGAGTTTTTGTGCTTTGCACTCAGGAAGGGATGAGGAAGACTGGGCATGGCCGGCAGAGGAACCCAAGAAGCTGAGATGATGGACCTCAGACAGGCTGTCACATCGTCTCCTGGAGGCAGCTCAGATGGATGGAAGACCCAAAGACAGATCACACTGGGCCCCGAAGAGGTGGGTGGAGAAGTCCAGTGGGGGAGCTGCCCCACAGTCGTTGCAATGTTGGGCACATCTCCTGAACATGGACAGTGAGGTGCTGTGCAGGGTGTACCAGGTGGTCATCCGCTCCAGGTACTCAACCACTGTGAGTCTTGTATCCTTTTTTATAAAACAGGGTCACTAGCCTTACTTGGTTTGGCTCTGTGGATAGAACATCAGCCTGCAGACTGAAGGGTCCCAGGTTGGATTCAAGGGCACATGCCCGGGTTTTGGCTTGCTCTCCAGTAGAGGGGGTGCAGGAAGCAGCCAATCAATGATTCTCTTTCATCGTTGATGTTTCTATCTCTCTCTCCCTCCCCTGCCCCTCTGAAATCAATTTTTAAAAAATCTAAAAAACAACAGGGTCACTGATACTCATCATCTCAGAAATATGTGTGTAGACAAGATATAACATGTGGATAGTGCCCACAGGCAAAGTACCATCCAAATCTTTAAACTACCGGTCATAGTTCTTGAAAGGCCAGGGCTGGTGTTGGGAATGAGGGTAGTTAAATAGCTGAGGAGCGGGTCCCGGCAAAGGCCTTTCCCCACTGCTTTCTTAACACAAAATATTTGGGATGGATATTTAACCAGAGTTAAGTCCTGGTCCCCAAAGAAGACTAAGGCCATCTTCAGCTTACATCCCTCTCTGCTTCTAAAAGTGGAGTACAAATGTAGGCAGTAGGGGCCATCTGCAGCACATGGAGACAGAGCTCAGAGCGCCCAGGCCCTGAAACAGAATAAGAGCTCCAGCAAACTTTCCTTCCTAGAAAAATTTTAAGGCTTATTCTTTCCAAAGTGTAAAGACATTTCAGGCCCAAGCCGGTTTTGCTCAGTAGTTAG